AATCCCCCGGATCAAACATCCCTCTTTCGATACAGGCTATTCTATATACATGTATGTACACGCTATAAATTATCTCATCGGGTTTTCTGGGGAGTCGAGCTCGAGATAGCGCGTGCACGTATTATGGCAACAATAGCAGGATAAGCCGAAGCACATTGTAAAGTGTATTTACCTACTCACACAAAATTAAAACACGCGCCCACGTATACGCTTGTAGTAATATATACCCCAGGTCTTTCTTCGGGGTATATCTAACCGGCTCTCATATGTGGGTGCTTGTGTTCTATATCTCAAGAAATAGATCGCACACGTCATACACATTTGTGTGTAAGTATACAGCGTTGACGGTGGGAAAACGTCGTATGGTCTATAGAAAAAAGAGAGTATGAAGTTTTAGTTTCTATTTGGTGACCTTTCCTGGGAAGTTTCGCTCGTAGGTATATTTATGTATACACGTGCTGATTATTAATGGTTTTTCTTTTTTTTTTTACGGGCATGGACAAATTCATCATTAATCATTTCGTTGTTTTTTTTTTTTTTTTTTTATTTTAATACGGACTACATCAATTGGAAGCTTATTTATGTAGTGGAGCGTTAATTCATTTTTCTTGAAAGTATTTATCGTTTATTGGGTAAACGACATTATTATTATTATTAACAACTCAATGTGATTCGAAAAATTATTTTCCTGAATATTTTCGTAAATTCGCTACTACTGACCATCACGAGAACTATAAATCCAAGTGTATTTCTCAGCATCCTATTATTTCAGCGAAATAACACGCAGCCTCTGCAAAAGCGAGCTTTCGAAAGCTCTCGCAGGTATAACGTGTTCCCAGGCAAACTTGAACTGAATATTCCGGTGCGTTTTACAGCGCGCGAGCATACACAGGCAGCAATAATCTTTTAAGACTTTTCCGCGCACGCATACGTATGTACATACACGTGTGACCTCACAAGTTGTGCGCTATCACTGGGAATTGAATGGCTATAAAAAAAATGTTGGAAATGACCTGCAGCGTGTCTCGGCATTGCCGGGGAAATCTTTCGCGCGTGAAAATCATTGTTCGTAAAATTTTCGATGGCAAAATGCCTGCGTGTTTTATTTTTACGCAGTGTGTATAGGTGTGCGAACTCGTAAGGAATATTTGACGGGAAATGTATTTTCTTTTGTGATTCGGTCATGAAAAGTTTCAATAATTTATTTATAAACTGATGTTTTAATTCAGCATAAACCGCTTTACACATTTTTTCTTTCCAAATCTATTCTTTTATATACTATTCTGCTGTTCAGGGAAAAAAAGAGTGTAAGTGCAATGCTATTTCAATGGCTCTTGCGCTTTTTTCCCGTGAACAGTTGTAGTACTCATACACAATGTAAATTGAATTCAAACAATGTGAAAATCCACAATTGTAAAAATACTAAGTCCACATTGCATCCACAAGTGTATATTTTTTATTCCATTCGATACGAAATACACGTTGTACACGGAGAAAAAAATTACGGTGATTTTTATTGTTACAGCATCGGTAAAGCTGAAACAGAAAAGTTTTTACGTATATAGTTTTACAGTAATTTTTTCATCACAATAAAATACAATCGCTAGAATATTTAAAAGCGGTACTTTGGTAATTTTTCCTCTAATTGATGTAAAAGATGACGTCAAAAGTCGATAACGTATCTGTAATGCAAATACTTATAAATAAACCTTAAATATTGGGATCGCACAATTATCGGTATATTGACTTATTATCGATTTTGCACTTTATATCTGTTTTCAATCAAAAGAAAAATCAACTAAGCTGTATTTCACTATAACTCAAAAATTTAACGTAAAGCTGTGGCATAATCTAGAGAGTTAAACATTCTACGGACCCAACTCTAGCAGTGAAAACTCCTCTACATTTTTTCTCCGTACAATGGAACGTCGTAGGAATGCTTGTCTTAAAAAAAGCATCATCATCATTCGGCCGGTTCCATTGATTCCATCCACGTCCCCCTTTCGACGCCAGGACGAGTGGCATAATTTGTTGTTGGCACGTATAAGCAAACACCGTCTGCAGTTTAATTTTTTTTTTTCCGTATATCAGCTTTTCACAAATTAGCAACAGTCGCGGCTGAATCTAATAGAAGTGATCGAGATAAAGTAGTCTGAAGAAAATCCCGTTCGAGATTTCACGTCTCCTCCGTTCGTATGGACCGACTGTCCAAACTATGGCGATTTTCATTAAACTTCCCCTTTTGGCTCGTTTCTCTCATTTAATTCGATCTAGAAGGGAAATAAATCTAATGCATGGGCACAAGACACTGATTCTTACAACGTTTTCGTTAATGGGGCACTAGTAAAATTTACGTGCAGGGCGAGGGTGGTGAGATGTTGCTGATCGAGAGGAATGTCGACACCCCACGAATGAGTTTGTGGTAAAAGGGGAGGCAGTTGTAATGCGTATTGTACATGTATTTATATATACAACAAAGGGGAGAGAGAAGAATTGGGATCAATCGTCTTTTGTGATTTGGTACTCAATGTGCACGAGCTCTTTCACAGTATTTTTGAGATTGTACTTTGCCCAATTTAACGTAGTCCACTTCTTTCACGCTTACGACCTTTTTTTTTTTTTTTAAGGGGACATAATGCCTATACAGAGGAAGAAAAAATCATAACTAAACATTAAATAATCAATTCGTCTACGAAAAAAATTTTTATCATATGAGGTGAGTCCAAGTATTTTTTATTACGTCTCGAGTCGACTTAAATACTACATTGCGTGTGAAGATTAACTCAAGTCATTTTGATGCGATCGAGATCAGATTAGAAGGATATAGAGATATCGTTCAAAGGAGATCTGTGGAAAAAATTTTGTTTTATTCCTGACATTGCAAATTAACTTTTTACATGAAGGTGTCAAAAGAGGTTAACCTTTTGTTGTATGTTTTCTGTCGGTAGGTTAATACTCTCTTTGGATTCTAAAAATTACTCGAAACGATAAAAAATTGACGTTATGCAACAAAGTGGCGAACAGAAAAATCATAGATCTAAAAAACATAAATTATTTTTTACTGAAAGTTTTCTCTGTAAATGCAAAAAATGCTTGAAAGTAGTAAAATTGTGATGTTACCTATCACAAAAATAAATCAAAATTTTATGCCAAACTGATACATACAAAAGTTGTAGATCTTAAAAAAACGCACTTTTTAAGATTATACATTAGAATTTAACAGTAGCGCTCTAGTACTGAAAACAAAAAAAAAGTTATTTTTCGTTAAATAAAAACTGTTTTAACAACGTCTAACATGAAACCTTTTGCGTTTTACATGTATCTCTACAATGCTATTTCAACGCTTTCAATGATTTACATATTTTAAATTAAAAAATCGTTCGATAGCAGCTACCGTTGTAAGCTGGTATTCCATAGAAATATTTCTAACAAAAATATAGTTAGTTTCGAAAAAAAAGAATCATTTTTATGCAGAAAATTTTATATGTCATAGCAAAACTTTTCGCTCGGGTGATACTGTATACATCAGTCGTGACTTACACATTATACCAAAGAGTAGTTTTTTTTTTTCAAATAAGCTTGGTCACTTATTTTGCACTGCACTAGGTGTGTATTTATTTTCCAAATTTCAATAATGGTGCGTTGAGAGACATAGTTTTTGTATCGCTCGGGGATAAATTGGGTGAATGTAATACGTACACGAACGAGTCCGCTTCATTTAACTTTGTCTACAGAAAAACATGGCCCCATCCGTTATTGCTTCTTTCGCTCAATGAAACTCACATTTTCGAAGTTTCAATGATCGTTCGGGATTAAGTTCTGATTAAAAGGAAAAAATACCTGCAATTATTTCATGTAATTTTTCGGTCTGTTTGATTCTCATTAATTTAGAAATACCTGTTAGAAATTCAACTTTGAAACTTCATAAATTTTTTTATTTTATTTTTTTAAAGTTTCACAATTAAAGTAAAAGATCATTTTTGTCTTTGAAAATTACAGTTAAATTATTTTTTATGATTCATTGTTGTTTTTCAAACTGTTGGAGGTAAAGGTCGCCAAATATTAATTCACCTCATGTATTTATAAAATGAAATTAATTTAAAGTCATGCCCAGCAGTCAATTTTTACTCCATTCTCTCTCTCTCCCTCTTTGATCGGAAACAATCTGTTCCTCAAACCAAAATATTTGATAAAGCTTTTGCGTCTCTTTAAGTTCAATATTGATTCAATAGAATAACTTAAACTCACTTTTAATCATTTATCAAAGTCAACACGACTAATTGGACAATTTGTACATGATGACCTACAATATTTAAAAATTAAAAAATTTTCAACTCTTCAATCGTAAAGTCTCTTGAAACCTTCCATACAGTTCTTTTACCTTAATTTCTATAATTACTGTTGTGATTGACAGTATTTTTTTGGCAAAGTAACAAAACAAAATCATCCATCGAATAACCTTGGCACGCCACCTTCGTAAATCCCCGTATTTCGATAACACGAAAACAGTTCAACTCTAAGCTTCCCATCAATATGTCGAATGGCCGTAACAAAATTAACACCGAATATTTCTTTTATCGCACGTATGTACACCAGTAAGAGCTTTTCGCGCACGTGAAGCCAATTGATATTATTGCCAATGCTCAAATAATCTCAGACCACAGAGATGTGCCACTGGAATTTTTAATTTCATTCTTGAAATTGCATAACATATGTACGTATGCACGTATTCTCATAACAAATGAGTACCGGAGCTCTTGTTTCACGTTTCGTCGCTCGACAAACCAAAGCCAACTCGTTATGGGATGTATGAAAACGCGATAGCGCACACCCGAGCCACGCGCAACTTCAAAGAAGGAAAAAAAAAAAAAAAAAAAAAAGTTGAACCGTAGAGAAAAGATATTTTCCATTCCATTTGGGATATTTGATCGCAAAGGGGGGACATTTTCCAAGAGCTCGCATTTCGCTGCGGTTTTTTCCGTAAAATATAAATCGTTCACCTTGACATTTTTACTTCTTCTTCAGGTACACTTCGGTGTCCCTTGCTTGTTTTTTCCCGCACCTCTGCGGGCCAGCGTGCACAATCCGAGCGGACACGTCTTCCTTTTCTCGATCGCTGATATGCACCTTTCTGGACCGAAGCTGCCGCGCGTCTCTTTTTCGGCACTCGCGCGTCCAACAGTTTGTATTTCACGCGTGACCTTTTTTTACCATTCACTCTTCTCGCGTTTTTTGCATGGAAAACATACTCGTATATATCCGCCTTTGTTCACCGAGTGTTTGTTACAACAACATCGAATGATCACGACTCGAAACCTTTGCGTGTTTGTTTTCTGCACACTTGTTTTTTTTTTTTTTTTTTTTTTTTTGTTCAACCAAGTCTTGGCAATGCAGTAAAAACCAAGTGCTCGGTAAGTGATTCACTTTTGACAATTACCAACCTCACGTGACGTTCCCAACGTAATGTCCAGAGAAAAGTTTCGAAAAATTCAGCGCCACTTCTATTTAAAACTCGGCGAAAAGCTTCAAAAACGAGTCGCACTTTTTTTTCAACAACCGATCGAGACAGCGGGAAATTTTCTAAAACTCCCCTCTGAAACGGGCGAAGAAAAGCTTACACCTGGAGGACCATTTTTCGCGTGCGATCTCTCGTCGACACGACAAAAACGTTAACAATTATACAAATTTTTACAATTTAGTACACGGTGACCCTAAAACCTCACCACTGAGCCTTTAAAAAGTTACCGCGGTGGGAGAACGCGTGGAAAAGCACCTCAACAAAAAAAAAGAAAACAATTTAGCGTCGATTTCGCGCGCGTTCAATGGATATAAGTGTGCGAAGTGAGCGCGTCGGCGGGCTTGGCACGACTAAAACGCCGACACGTTGGTCTACCGGAGGAGAGAGAATCCATGCCGAGGATATCTACGAGCTATACATGTATACGTACGCGGCAGCGGTGTAGCAGCACGCAATCATCTGCGCGGACGCGCGTATTTTCGTCGAGAGCTGGACCAGTGGATATAGCACCGCGTTGTAGACCAAAACGGGGAACAAAAAAAATTTTACTTGGGTTGATTACAAATGTTATTTAACACAATTCGGTGGTTGAATCAAAATAAGTATTTGGTAATAATAACAACTTGAGTATCGTGCTAAATTGAGGGCTGTACCTATCTATAGTATTGATGAATTTGGTTTTGTTTGTTTTGGCCCATTCAATTCTTTTTTTTTTTTTTTTTTTTTTTTCTGGTGTAGCATACTCAAGTTCAAGTGTATCTTTGAGCTTTACTAATTCGTTGAGCGTGACAGTGCTTCTTTACCCCGAAATCTCAAGAAAATCGATTTTGACCGTTCGGGGAAAAGACATGTACAACACAACATTTGTAGGGGATAAAGCGTTATCTTGAATTTGTTTTTTTCTTTCCAAAATCAGCTCCGATATTTTCCTCGAGATTATGAAAAATTGGGTGGAGACATAAATATTCTTTGAACCTTCATTATTCTCACTGCATATGAAAAATATCACAGACAGCCATTAATTTCAATATCCAACACGAGGATTTTCGAGCTGCCAAAAAATGTTTTGGGGTCGTGCTTGCTTTCTTATGAAATGAGACTAAGTTTTTTTTCCTAGAAAATTTGGGATGGTGTTTTGTTTTTCTGAGCCGTCAATGTATTTATTCACGCGGTAAAAAGGGCTTTACTAGCGTGTTTTTTTCTTCCGTCGTAATGGATTCTGTGACTATGAGATAATTAAAGTCTTGCTTACAAAAAAAACATTGTTTCTTGGTGTCATAAATGTGTATGTATGTGTGTCCGCCCAAAACATCCCTGAATTCTCTCAACCATTTTAGTTTGAGCCTTAATATTTTTGTTCATCACTTCCTCGTCAAGTCACTTTCTTTGGTTTCAAATAATTTTTTTTCCATTTTTTTTATTGACTTTATCTATTGAGTTAAAAAAAAAAATTGGCTTTTGTCTTGAAAATTATAAATTGCTTGAGTGATTTCATTAACATTTACCAAAAAATTTTTTTATTTAATTTCGTAAGTTAAAACGGTATTCTTAATAAAATTTTTATCAAAAGCTTATNTTTCTCAAGAATCGAAAAAAAACTTTCCTTGAAAACTAAAATTTGATTCCCACACAATAGGCCGGCTTTTGTGGAAATAATATCTGCTTTTCTCTCCGAAGGTGAAAATATTGTTTAATTAGGCAATTTGTATATTATGTTCAGTTAGTATTATTTTTTAAATAATACAGTTATTGATCCACGCGTGCAAAGAGAAACAAAATTAAGAAACAGTAAAAGGGAGCGTTGTATCCTTTAATTGCCAGTGGTTTATTCATAGTTGAAAACGCTAATACGATTTTTATCAACTTTTTCATGGCGCTACTTTTAATTTGTACAAGTTATGATTTTAATTTGTGGTGTATGCTTGCCAGACGATTGTAAGGTTTAATAAGAGAAAAAGCCAACTGGCGTGTGGGGTAGTAATATGAGGAACTGCGTTACAGTTGCAATTACTAAAGGATATGGGCCTCCCGTTGCTTCTGTTGGATACGTGTACAGATCCGACTATTGCTCTTTTAAGTGAAAGTATTGCTATACTCGACAGCAGTCGCAGTAGTGTGTCGGTTTTCGTATTTTATGTATTAGTGACGCTGCCGCTATTGTATTTTTTTTTTTTTTTTTTTTTTTTTTTGGGGCCCTTTTTCTTTTTTTTTTTTTTTTTTTTTTTTTTTTTTCGTCATCTTAACAGTGTGATAAATGAAAGTTAGAGCGTTAGTTAGTAAAAAAATAAGTAATTCTTTAATGATATTTCTTTGTCACTTGAAATTTACATTTATTTGTGATTATAGAAATGGTATTTATAAAACAAAAGTTTTTGTACAGAATTTTGATTAACTTTTATATATTACAAATATTTCACTATTGAATTCAAACGAAATAAGTAGCTAAAAAAATTAAATTTTCGCATCTGAGGCACAACTGCTACATTTTTTATCAAAGCATAAAAAAAATTATTATACCCGAATAGAATTAAAAAATTATTTCAATTCATGCATATTAGCACAATTACATCACTTTTCTAGTTATTATTCTAAATGATTGTTGTTTCGACCACATATATCGCAGTTTGGATAGAAAATACTCAATTTTTGTGTTAAATATGGAAACTATAGTAAAATTTTTTTATAAAATTATTGTTGAAAATACAATATTTTAGAAACTCAAAATGTATGACACAAAATTTGTGGAAAAATTATCAACATACGTACTGTCACGTACAACATGCATGACACACTCGACTGGGTCACCCCACCATTATAACTACCATGCTATAGAAAAGGGTAATAAGATAAGGATGAAGGTCCCGTAAAGAGGCCACTTGCGCAGGCACTCAGACTGAGTCAAGCAGTCAATGAATTTGATAAAAGTATCTTGAATAATTTCGCCAAACTAGTGATAGCATGTGTAATTAAAATTATAATCCAACGTCCAGGGCCGCTGGGATCCAGCCAGTATAGTTGTGCCTTTGATTGTACCAACTATTACCGTCAGACCCACTGGTGTCACACATGGAAACTATTTGCTCACATACTTGTAACATTCGTAAAATAGAGGAGAGACAGGACGAGTCTTGCCAATAATCTAAAAATAAAATGCATTTGAGTCCGACTCTTTTTTTATCCATAATTCTGGAAATGAATAATAAGTTATTAAGTTGGAATAAAAATTTTGTGTGGAATAATGTTTTTTGCTTTCGTAACCAGCCCGTGATTAATTGAATTTTTTTAATTAAAAATCTGTTACGAAAAACAGTATTACAAAGTTTATTTGTATAGTGTTTACATCAGGACTTGACGAGTTTTTTTTTAATCGATAGAGAAAATATATATATATAAGAAATATTTTTCTCGGTTGTGATCGAGAAATTGTTTGCAGTTTCAAATAAAACAAAAAAAAAGCATTTAAATAATTAGAAAACAAGTTTAAAAGATTTTTTGTCATGTAGGAGATTTTTTGTGTAACATGAGATGTTACACGACAAACTCTATCTCTTAATTAACGTTTTCATGGATGAATTGAATGTATGAACTAGCGCCTCTTTTAAGTAAATTTCAATTTGATTTAATTGGGTGGTATACATTGCCTAGTAGCCACATAACATTTAGAGGTTTATACCAAATAAAAAATATGAAAGGCCTATTCACGTAGATACAATTAAACTGATCCGTTCTCAATGCTGGAAATTCAACTATATTTTGCCCTTTGTCTCCTATCTCTAGCTCTACGAGATGAATCATGTCATCAAGAGAAAGTTCGGATGCTTTTTCGACCCTCTTGTGGTGAAACTCGTCTAATGTGACGTACGGCCGTTGTTTCTGTGACCTAAGGTAATTGATAAAATTTTCAGCTTCCTCGCTCAACTTCTTGTCGTGAAACTCTTCTAAAGGGTGATTTTTAATTTTCTTGATGTTGAATTGAGTGGTATTTTCCCGAAAAGCAAATTTAATGCCCATAGATTGTAGGATAGAGCTGTAGTTGTATATGCGAGAAATATTCAACTTTGGTATTGCAACACGGGTACGAGTGCGGCTATTTGACACTTTATCCATGACAGTTTTGAGATTGTCGAAAGTCATGAGTTGTGTTACCCTTTCCACTTCCGTTACATTAGGATCGTTTGGTAGAATCACGTACATTGATACCTGAAATTCGAAACATAATTACCAGAGGTTGTATGGGCCAAGAAAAAAAATTAATAAGCTTAATCCAAATCAATTTATAATTATTGTGAGAAAATTGTGGGTGAGTGAATGTAAATTTTTTTTAAATCTTAGAACTAAACTAAGGCATTTGTCCTATAAAATGAATAGTGAAATCCTTACGTTTCCACCTGCATAAGGTATTTCGAATATTGTAGAACCTAATATTTGAGTGTCATCGTAAAATAAAACTTCATCAGCACTGATTATGCCTGTGCAAGGAATTGACAAATTTTCATAATGAAATTGAAATCTAAAATTGAATGTTTGTCATTATTAAAATTGATATAAAACATAAGTATCCATAGAGTATCAATAAAAATTGACGTATTCAATGACAACTGAACATACGGTTCCTGGATCATTCCAAAATGCGTTTCCCAATCACCACCAATATGAAACATGGACAAGAAAAGCATCTTAGTGCTACGCGGCAGGTAGAATTCCATATACTTTAAACTTGGAATATATTTAGTGTAACGTCCTTGAGACACTTCGCCAATCCATTCATTCAAAGCTGCCATCGTTTCTGTATGATTAGTGAAATCAACATTTCTTGTACTGCTTCTATAAAATTCTTCACTGAAGCTTTTATCACTTGGCAGAATTTTGTATCCATTCTGCAAATACTATAATTAGTACCATAATCCAGTAGGTTGAGAGGGTTACGAAGTAAACTTGAGAAGTTATAAGCAAAGCCTTGGAAACGTCACTAATATTTTCTCAAGAATCGCATACTCAAATTTTCAAACAGCAAGAAAAATCCAGCTCCAAAAAAAACAATCTAGTTATTTGTGGTTTGCATGAAAAAAACTATGAATGAAATATCTAGGAATATCTAGGTTTTTGGAACTATTTTTAAGGTTAAAAAAAACCCTATGCCATAGTAAAATAGTCAAACGAATTGCAGATTTGAATTAAGCAATCCAAAAATTATAATTTAAAATGATACAGTTGAAAGGAAATTTTACTGATTTTTCCGAGATGCTGGGCTTTGAGCTTTGTTTATAAAGTGGTTTGTGGNTTTGTTTTCCTGTAGTTGCTTGAGTTTGTAATTAATTTTAT